GTATGACGTTATCAGGTCGGCAACGCAGATAGCTTGCTTAGTGGCTCGCTTAACGAAGGACCGACGCCGCATCCGTGCCTCTGAAGGCGATCATGTCGACGTCGAAAAGCTTTGTTGTCACGTATTCGGCTCCAATACTTGATGCAGTATTCGGTTCGAACGTGGAGACTCTGCATGATGCATGCACACGTATGTTGTACGTGTGTGTCATGGCTCTGTAGATGTATATGCATGAATACATGCAATCATTTTCTTGATCATCGAAGATTAGCTAGCATGCTTGACAGATGCATCCGTGCATGTATACATGCATACAAGCCTTAATATTTAATTAGCTTGCATGACATGTCGATCGGATCTTGATTTCACATGGCTCTTGTTGATTAGCCTGCTGCTGTATGGTGGCGTTGCCGATGGCATCTGTGCCTCTCGAGATCGCCAAATCGGGATCGTCTAAGGACACCCTGATGGATCGAGTCTTGGCTCTTTGAGCATGATGAGTGGTGTATGTAGTTTGCATGACTTGGCTCGTCAGCTTGAATACGCGCGTCGTCAGCCTTCACGCGCGTGGTGCTGGCGAGCTCTCCCACGGTAGGTTGTAGTCGTTGTTGCCGAAAGATGTTGCCACCGCCGCCAGAAGCCGAGTTGCCATGGATGGCATTGATCTTGAGATCCCATCTGACCGGCCATGGATCAAGCGCACACCTCTACCTGGCGCGCCAACTGTCGATAAAAGATGCTCGGTAGTTCACTGAGGGGTATCCCATGATGGTAGATTTGTCGTAGAGGTGAGCGAGATGGTAATACAAGCACTAAGACATAAGATTTAGATAGGTTCGGCCGTCAGTATGACGTAATACCTATATCCTGTATTCTGATATATTGTATTGAGATGTATCGATCTGTCCACTAGGGGACCCCTGCCTCTCCTTATATACTCTGGAGGGGTAGGGTTACAAGAAAAGTATCATATTTGGTACTATAGAATAGCTTGCGGTGCATGCCGAGCAGCGCCGTGCACGCCTTGATCTTGTGGGCCGAGCAACCTCTGATGGTGCGGCCCATGTCTTGTCTTGTGGATACCGGGGGCCATACCCCCACAGCTAGACCCCGAGCCTGACAATAGGTGGCGTAGTCACGTGGTGCCAGGGTCAAAAAGTAAAAAACCAGCCGAGCAGGTAGTCAGTCCCCAGGCATAGCCTCGATATGAGAAGCGCACATTCACCACAAGGTGAAGTGTGCCCACAGTCCTCGAGCCTGCTGGAAGATGAAGAATGAATCTTATAGCAGGGTCAAAGAAAAAGAAGTCTGAAAGCTTTGCCCACGTCATCCGACATGCGCGTATCAAGACCCCAGACGTGCTGCGCAAGATCAGCACCCTAATCCGAATAGCGTGGAGCAGCTTGATAGCACATCGATGAGACGTAGCAAGATCCGACTACCAAGGGAGCACCAAGGAGTCCCCGGCGTCGCTGGCGACGTCCGAGCACCGAAGAGCGAGGAGTTCTCGGCGTCACTGGCGATGTCCGAGTACCGAGGAGTCCCCGACGTCGCTGGCGATGTCCAAGCACCGAGGAGCGAGGAGTTCCCGGCGTCGTTGGCGATGTCCGAGTACCAAGGAGTCACCGGCTTCGCTGGCGATGTCCAAGCACCGAGGAGCGAGGAGTTCCTGGCGTCGTTGGCGATGTCCGAGTACCGAGGAGTCACCGGCTTCGCTAGCGATGTCCAAGCACCGAGGAGCGAGGAGTCCCTAGTGTCGCTGGCGTTGTCCGAGCACCGAGGAGCGAGGAGTCTCCGACGTCGCTGGCGATGTCCGAGCACCGAGGAGTCCCCGGCGTCGCGGGCGATGTCCGGGCACCGAGGAGTCCCCGACGTCGCAGGCGATGTCCGAGCACTGAGGAGCGAGGAGTTCCCGGCGTCGCTGGCGACATCCGAGCACCGAAGAGCGAGAGTCCCCGCGTCGCTGGCGATGTCCGAGCACCGAGGAGTCTCCGGCGTAGCTGGCGATGTTCGGGCACCGAAGAGCGAGGAGTCCCCGGCGTCGTTGGCGATGTCCGAGTACCGAGGAGTCCCCGGCGTCGCTGACGATGTCCGAACACCAAGGAGCGAAGAGTTCCCGACGTCGCTGGCGATGTCCGAGCACCGAAGAGCGAGGAGTCTCCGGCGTCGCTGGCGATGTCCGAGCACCGAGGAGTTAGGAGTTCCCGACGTCGCTAGCTTGTCCACCTCTACGGTGCTAGGTCGTGCAAGAAATGATGCTAGGTCGCCAACGAAACCGCAGTGTGCTAGGTCGTGCACTGCTACTGGCGGTCTCAACTAGGCTGAGGCCTTTGTGGGCTCTCACGGGAAGAGTGAGAAATGAAAACGAATTGGGCCAAGAGAAAACAGGAGGAAAGGAGGAGAAATGGACCGACTGAGCTGAGAGAAGAGTGAAGAAGAGACAGAGGGTTATGTTTTGGTCTGGTGATCGACTTGAAAAAGAGAAACTTTATCTTTTTATTCAAAGCTGTGAATTTTAATTACTTTTAAAGCAAAAAAATAACTCAAAACAAGACGGAATGAGGACCAAGCACCGCATGCATGTTATTATTAATATATATGGATGCACAAAATTAGTTAGAAAGATAAACTTTTATTTAAAAGATCCTTAGAAAGAGATTCTAACAAATGTTTAAATTTAAATGACTTTGGGTTGGATTCATGTGGAGACTCATAACCAACGCTAATTTTTTTTAGAAAAAAGAGAAAATGGTTTTAAATAAAACCTTAACTAGGTCAAAGACATGCTGGGAAAAGTTTTAACTAGAAATCTTTAGGTTGTAATTTTGAAATAGGGAAAAGAAGGAAAGTTTGGTAACGGTTTTGACTTGCTCCCTTCGTTTCAAATTATAACATATTTTGGCTTTTCTAGATATATAGTTTTATTGTGCGCTTTAGATGTACACTATACCTAAATCACCACCAACCGGGTTAGACGAGAAACGTTTCACTCAAGAATCACTAGAAACTTTTCTCGTTTTTATGCATAGTAAGGGGAAACACCTGCTAGCTGGTTTCATGTGATTCTGATTCTTGCCCCCTTTAGCAACCATGATTTTTTAGTTAGTTCTTTTTAAATAAAATAAGTTAAAATATGTTGTACTTAAGTTGTTCTTCACCCACAAAAAAGTTTTGAATTTTTTGAAAAATATTTTTATTGAAATGTTTTTTATGAAAAAGTATAATTTTGAATTAGAATCCAGACTACGAGCCGAATGATTTCACGAAATGATTTTGATTCATCAAAAAAACATTTGTTGGGAGAATTTGAATATGAAATGTTCGAGAACCTAAATCCTTACCAAACGCACTCAATCGCTACACTTTGTCCACTTGTGTCACAAACCAAATATGCCCTTAATCTTATTTTATTTTGGAAGCTCGGGAACCTAGGTCGTTGAGCATCCATCCTCTAATCAGATTTCCTAGTCACCGTAAAGACGCATACATTTTCTTTTGCTTGGCCATTCACTACATACTCATTTCGTCAAAAAAATATATCTTGCTTTCATAAAAGTTTGACCAAATATATAAAAAGGAGAGTAATATTTATGATGCATGATAACAATTACTAGATTAGTCATATAATATTTTTTAAAATAAATTTATTAAAATAAAAAAATTAGGCTCCTCAAAAGGCAAATGTCTATTTTTTAGGAGGGAATACGTAAAATGGCAACTAGCCACAAAATTTTTGGGAGGGAATACGAAACCAAAATTGCCGAGTTGGCCCTGTTTCAAATTGTGACGCCAGCCCGCCCTAAACGCCTCTAAAACCCCAACCGTCGTCCACTCCTCTCCTGTCGCCTCACCCCTCACTCCTCACTCCTCACGCCGCCGGGGCAGGGCCAAGACCCAAGATCCAGGGCACGCGCCGTCCCGCTGGCAAAACGCCTCCCCTTGTCGTCTTCCTCCTCCCGCGTGTTGCTGTGGGGGGCGCAGACGGCAGACCCATCCGGACCTGATTGATTTCTCCGTTTTGTTCTGCTGGTACGGGAGTCCTTCGGCGACCTTTCTTGGATAATAAATCGTTCGTCCTTTTTTCTGCAATAATACATTCCCTTGTTCGCTGTGACGGCTTAAATCCGAATCTTGAGTTCTTTCTTATCTCGTTCCCAATCGGCGTACGGCTCATCACAGACGCGGTTGATTGCGTCATACGAATTGGGGTACTACTAGTACTAGTACCAGCTCATTTCCCCAAATAGTCTTGAGGATTAATGTTAAATCCACCCCCTTTGAAAGTTAGGTTTTGTGACATGAAAGATATGTGCTTTGATTTCTCTTTGAAACAATATATTTCTCTTTATCAACTTGATCTAATTAGATGTTGCATGGTCAAGCTGTATGGCGATTGTATTCCCCTCTGCATTGTCTCCTCAGATGCTCGGAAACGAAAAGAAATAGAAACCTTTCATGAACATGTAAACATTGTCGTGCCAAGAATACCTGTAATTTTTGGGTATGAGAGTTTTTTTTTTCTCGCCATAACAGGAAACATGGCCTGTTTTCACGTTTTGATTCTAGTTCATGTTGGTTTCGCAACTGTGCAATCCTAATTTGTTAGTTTTTCCGTTTTAAGTTGTGACACGACCAAGTAATTTGTTGGGACAAGATAATGTATTAATGTGGCAGAAGGAATATGTCAAAGTGCTCATGTGATTTTTATGCTGTAAGATAATTTATTGGTTTCCGACTTGTGTTCTCATGCCTTCAGATAGTTTTAGTTCAACCTCTGCATTTGAGAGTAACAATGTCTTGTGAGCTTGCCAAAAAACTGATTTTTATGTTAGCCTTGCATTTGCGTTTGTTTATCTCACAGTGTTGCACAATTCCTAATGTAGTTCCGTAGTCTAATTTAGTTGTCCAGCCTGCAACTCCTTTTCACATTATTCCTGTCTTTATCCCTCGGTGCACATATATCCATAAAGTCACCATCTTATTAACAAATTCAGGTTTACATGGCTGCAAGAAAGGAAAGGCCTTTGCTTATTGCTGGCCAAGCAACCAGTGCCAGAATAACAAGATCTCAGGCTGCTGCAAATCGTACAAGATCTGGGCTGGCTCCTTATGTATCACTACCCCTGAAAACTGAGCATAAACATGCAGCGAAAGGAAAGATGAAAAGGGAAGCTTCAGATGAAAATGCTGCTGCTGATGCTGGAGCTTCAGCTCCTCAGCCTAAAAGGCGCACAGTTCTCAAGAATGTAACTAACATAAGCTGTGCTAAAACTTCCAAAAGGTGCAATACTGTGACTGGGCTGAAGGTATCATGAAGTTCAACACATTACTACTTTATCCTACAATGATCTTCAATCTACATTTTGCCAACCATTGTCAATAGAATAATAAGTAGTTCCTTTGCTCCAGTTGGGTCCCTCCCAGAAGGTTGGACAGAGCATAAACAAGCAATGCACAAACAAGATCCCCAAGCTTCTCCCTCTGGCTGTTGCGGGGAGCTCACTTGTCAATGATTCTAATAGTGCTGAAGAAACACAAAAGGTAGATCTTTTGGCACAGAAAGAGAAGCAGATTGTTTTGCTTAAGGGGGCTCAGCAATTACAAAATACTGAACGGAACAAAGACAGTGCTTGTGATGAGACATTCGTTGATGGAAGAAATGCCAGGAATATACTCGAAACTGCTGCCTTAAAGTCTGGTTAGTCCAGTTGCATCTTTTTTCCCCAGCATTGAACATCTTGACTTCTCGTAGTTAAAATTAATATTATAGATGATGGAGTAATGCACATCCCGGAATGTACATCTTTAAATGTATGAAGCCATAGTTAAAAATTAGTTAGAGGCCACAAGCACAGCTAATTCCGCAAAAATGCTTAGGGCTACTATTGGCTTGTCATGTTATCCTGAGTTGCTGACTGGTCTGCATCTTCTCTGAGTAGACTTTTGATTATCATTTGGTCATTCTTCAGTCATGGATCATAGAAACAACAAAAATGTGACTGTAAATTTGTGTTAACCTGACTGATTCTGAGATACTTGAGGATCTCCATGTTAAGTGGGCATAACAGCTAAAGAATCTGTATTTTGTTACAGGGGTCTCTAATGGTTTAAACATTGTAGACATTGACAAAAATAATGGTGATCCTCAAATGTGTGTTACCTACGTTGCAGAGATATACAGAAATCTAATGGCCTCAGAGGTATGTTAATGTTTTTTTTGGTAAAAAATAGAACCTTCTTACAATTTCACAAGTCTTGTGATCTAGGGGACAAGTGTTATGTTCAGAGTACTTGTGTTTCATCTGTGTGCTGCATTTTGATATATTATTCTTGATTGAATGCATTCAGATTCTGTTTTGTGCTTGTCTTATGCCCAGCTTATAAGAAGACCTAGGTCAAATTACATGGAGACTTTGCAACAGGACATCACATCTAGCATGCGAGGTGTTCTAATTGATTGGCTTGTTGAGGTTTGTATGGATTGCTGTTGAGGAAGTTTATGCTTGCATTTCTATGATTTTAGGCCAATATCGGGTCACTAATCATTGGCATCTCTCTGCACAACATCATTGAATGGCCTGATATTGGCATTGTTGCGTGCTCACATAAAAAGTATCTAGTTATATGTGAGTGCTACATACTGCATCTATGAAAATGCTTTCCCTCTCTGTCCATATGTATCATAGTCATCTGATGTCAGTGAAGAGAAATTTATATGAGATAATTGAACCATTTGATGATGACTGACTCATCCTTTGTTCTTTCAACACATAACTTGGTGAGAGCATGATATGGTGAAGTGGTCACTGTATAATGACTTCTGTCTTCAGCATTTGAATCAGACTATGCATTTCATTCATGCTTTCAAGGCATCTGCCTCTCATGACTTCTCAACTTATGAAGTTTTATGCATCATTCTCAATGCAGGTTTCTGAGGAATATAAGCTTGTGGCAGATACACTTTACCTTGCAGTATATCTTATTGACCAATTTCTTTCTCAGAACTGTATTCAAACACAGAAACTACAACTTCTAGGGATAACTAGTATGCTGATTGCCTCGTAAGTTTTAGATTTTAATACTCAATTTTGAGAAGCTTTGCAGTTGCCCAGTCGATAGGAGAATGTATATATAAAAAAATGTGGTTTACTTATAGCTGATGAGGCATCTTATTCTATAGAATGCATCAAATAGTTAAAAATAAATGAGTCTGCAAGTTTTATGTGATTATTTTTATTTGTGCCTTGGTGCCATTGATTTCCGTGTCACTGGTAATATTGTAAGTTTTCTTTTTGCAGGAAATATGAAGAATATTGTGCTCCTAGTGCTGAAGAATTTTGTAACATAACGGATAGTACATATGCAAAGGCTGAGGTATTTGTTTCTCTTGCAGTTTGAGAGATTGCTAAATTTATATGTAAAGAGCCCTTGAACTCCACAGCTGACATCTCCTGATTCCACAGGTTCTGGAAATGGAACAACATGTGCTTAATGATGTGGGCTTTCATTTATCTGTTCCAACAACAAACACATTTCTCAGGTCACCCTTGGTTGCCACATAAATGTTGATGTATACTACTTTTTTCCACGCAAAGTTGTTTCTTCATTAACATTCTTTTTCTTGTTTTCTTTAATTTTGATCAGGAGATTCCTTAGAGCAGCACAGGTTTCTTGTATAGTAAGATCATTACTCGAACCACATTGCAACAAGTCCTTTCAATTTATATGTATTGTCCTCAACACTAAGTTGCAAACTACATTTCCAGGCTCCTTTGACCACTTTGAATTATCTGGCGAATTATCTTGCTGAGTTGACTTTAATCAACTACGGTTTCCTGAAATTTCTTCCTTCAGTGGTGGCAGCATCTTCAGTTTTCCTTGCAAAATGGACACTTGACCAATCTGACCATCCTTGGGTTTGTATGAAAACATTGCATATATGTGTCCACATCATCTTTAAAGTTTAAACTTATTTAACATTTAATCTGCGGTTTCTGTTTTACAGAACCCTACTCTTGAGCACTACACCTCTTACAAAAGCTCCAATCTTAGAACTTGTGTGCGGGCTCTACAGGAACTGCAGCACAACACCAGTAATTGCCCCCTCAACGCCATCCGTGAAAAGTATGGGCAGCAAAAGGTACATGAATTTGCTGTTTGAATTCCTTGCACGCCACTCGAATGAAGCCTCAGAATACCAACTTTCAAGTGAAATCGTGATTATCCTTCTTGTCTATGTGCAAGTCGTAGCATGTTGATTTGTGCAACCATGTAATGAACTTTGTTCCATTGCAGTTCGAGCGTGTTGCCAACCTGAGGTCACCAGAGCTGCTGCAGTCACTCTTCAGTTGATGACTTGATGTGCCCCCCTGCTGATTCACAGCCATTTCCTGCAACGATCCTGACACCCTATCGTCAGCTTAGAGCGTACCCTTCTTCTTTTTTTTGAACTTAGAGCATACCCTTCTTAGATCAACTTGCGCTGGCCCCCAAGCAGTTTCTGTTCCATTTTCGAACTTTCTTCAGTTTCAACCGGCATAAAATTTGCTTGCATGTAAAGCCATCACTGTGTGCAGGCTGCTGCCCAGAGTTGATAGTTATAAGGTACTGTAGTATCTATTGGTTCATATAATAATGACAAGATGGCATCTGTAAGATCCCACCACTGAAAACTTGTGCCAGGGATAAAGCATTCCAAGAGGGGGAAACGGAGGGAATAGATGTAATAGTACTGGATGTGAATGCCTAATCCTCGTTAAGCTCAGGAAAGATGAAGGGGCAAAAGAAGTGACCAGCAATTTTGATTGAGATATTTGAATGAGTGTTTGTTAGAGAAACTGAGAGGTCAATAAAGGTGGTAAATCAAAATTTAAGCAAGCAACAAATGGGCTGGGGCAAAACATTTTAGTTTTGACACAATAGGATACTGAAATATTATGTGGAACATACGTTCTGTGACTTGGGTCACTGACACAAAAGAGGCGCAACACACTAATGTGTCAATTTGTAACTCAAAACATGTTACGCCTCTGAAAGGCAGGACTGATAGATCATGAGATTAACGAAGTCACCATATATGCCTCATTGTTGATGAGCACATGGCCTACCACTGAAACAACACGTCGTTAAACCTGGAATAAATCCAAAAAATATAAAAACCACATCAAGTCAATGATTTTAACATGTGTGGGAAAGTTCTACCATGAGAAACCTAACCAGCTAAACTATCAATTCACCAAAATATGTTACACCAGGGAAGGGAAAAATATAAAGCTTTTGATTCTTGTTGGAAAACCAGGTTTCTAGCAAATGATGCACGGTAGGCCTTCACCCAGCCGGGTGCCCTAGGCAAAGGTTCGGGGTGTAATAAGTGGGCTCAGGCACAATTAGGGTTTTATTAATGTACTCCTCAACCTCCTTTGTACAGAGTTTGAGCCCCTCTTTTATAGGGCACTGCTTACTAGAGCTACTCTTTACAATTTTACCCCTTGTCGGTTATAGTACATTCCCGGAACATTCCTATGCTAATACAAGTTGCCTGGGGTAGTTTGGGTATCTTCTTCTTCGACCGCCTTTGCCTGTTGGGCCACCGTCAGCGGCCCGTCATCGGCCCACAGCCCAGCGCTACCGCCGAGTGGGAGTTCTCCTGGGACCCAAGGCCTCCGCCCGGGAAGCCTCCGTCAGGGCCCTCGCCTCCATCGCCCGAACCACGGCCTTCGCTCGTTCCGCAGGAGCCTCCGCCTTCGACCGTGTTCTGGTGCCTTCGCTGCAGCTCCTTGGCGTTCGCCTCGGACGATCAGCCGGGCGAAGGCCTCTGCCGTTTTCCCTGCACAGTTTTCGTAAAACTCGTTAACCGTCAGTTCTTATTACTACTGCGAACTTTGCTCTCCGTGACTCATAACCGTGTCCCAACACTTCGCCCCTTGAGGGATTGGTACGATGTCTGGCGGGCCTTGCCCTCAAAACCTAGTCCTCAAGCTCTGAGGGGCGGAGGCTCTTGCGCACGCGGAGGCTTCCCCTCTTTCCCCCCTGGGACGCCTGGATCAGACCGTTGTGTTGGTGACGTGTCGCTACTTGATTCATCGCGGTGGCTCTAGAACCGACGTGTTTTTGAACCGATGCGACAGTTGGCCCCGGAAGTCAAAGCGGCGTGGCTGGGGCTATATAAGGGTCGGTAGGTGAAGGCTCCTCCCATCTCCATCTGAGCCATCGCTTTTGCTGCTGTTGCTTTCTACACTGTTCCTTTGCGCTTAGTTTTCGCTTAGTTGGTGTTTGCCTTCGCTCCCTTTGGGCTGTCGCTAAGTCTTGGAAGTGGCTACGCCTATTAGTCCTCCTCCATGCCAGGCTTCCTTCTTCGGACCGTACCATCACCTTCTCGGTGTTAGGTCTAGTGGGTGGTCTACGCAGTTTGAGGAGTGTATGGTTGCTAGTTGTTGGTATTTATTAACTTGTCACTTGTTTTAGTAGCCACCTATTAATTACCTACATCTCCTAACATTACTTTACTAGGTTGTCATCCCTAGTGATGGTGCCAGAGATGCTTGTTAGTACTGCCTAGCATCACTACTAGAATGATACTAAGTAGTTCTTTTATCATTTTATGCGACTAGAAAGAATATAAAGATATATGAATGAAAAGGAATCTGCAAGCGCAAAGATAATTACACCATTATAGCACTTCACCCGAGAGTATTCCAGGTATCGTTATTTATATTTTATCATAGGGAAGGTCTAGCATGGACAAGTATTGATAACTTATACCATTGATGGAGAAGTAAACCATAACCAATATTTTACTCATAACAGGGGTAAGTCATAGGATAAGAGATATGATAAGTATTGATCAATGATGATGATAAATCACTCAGAGTACTTCTTTTTATGGCATTAGTGTGGTCTGGTAGAATATTAGAGGAATAATTCCTAGGTCAATCTTAATTATAAGTCAAAGCATATATTGATTAGTGTAATTACACCTAGTAATCATGGCTAAGATCATCTTTATATCTACACATAAGGGATATTACTAAGAAAGATTAAGAACAGAACTTGCCCTTCCTTCGTAACCACATCCTACGTGCTACCTATATCGGGGAGTGGACTACAAAGGACTCAACAGGAGTGTCACATCCACAATCTACCAAATGGCCCGGAATATAGATCCGCAGGTAAACAACGTATAAGCACCACACTTACACAATGTCAACCACTCACCCCGTGTACTTTGGAGCGAGCACTTTGCGAACTTATGCATAAACATAATGATAAACTAGCTATACTAAGTATATAATCAAAGTAGACAATGAACATTATAACAAAGAACATGAATAAGATGAATACTAATATTGTCATAACAATTGTAGCAAGCATATAAAAATAATGGAGATACAAAAGAGAGGGGGTACAAGAATTATACCAAACCACGCTCTTGACACGATAGGGAATCCAAGCGAAGCCTGCTTGCCTCCCTCTAGACCTAAGCTAACTAGCTATGGCCTAGAATGGATGGAGCTCTGAGGATGATTAGGGTTTCTGTCTTCTCATATGACTTGATGCCTCAGGGGGGTGGCAGGGGCTGGTATATATAGCCCAGAGCATCAAACATGAGCCCTTGGATCAAACCGACTTAAGGAACGGCGTAGATGCAACCTAGGAGGTGGTGGAGAACCGACATTGCAACGCAGAGACCGACAGGTGGGCCCAGGGGCCGACCGGCCCCACCTGGTAGCCTCTGCCTCTCTGCCTCGGCGTGGTGTCCTCTAGAACCTTCTAGTGTCCGTTTCACGGCGGATAAGAGCAATTAAATCTGACATGTAAGTCCACCTTGACGGTTTTCTAGTTAAACCCTACAGAAAATACAGATTCATCAAAACTCATAGAATTTATTAGTTTAAACCCTTAGACCTTTGTTGGTGATCATATTTATGCCCTTATTCATGTTTCTTTGATGGTTTATAATGGTTGTTAACTACCGTCAACACTAGTGCGGAGGCGTAGGAGTTTGTGGAGGATCTTTGGAGCATTGAAGCCTCCGTCGCGGACCTCATTACAGCAGAAGAAGTGGAGGATATGGCTGGCCCAAGCAGGACATGGGATTTTGGGCCTTCGCTCATGACGAAGGATATGATCGAAGATCTACGGAAGTTGGGCGTTTTTGGTGACACTAAAGTGAAGCCTTCACAGGGGGAGATGATTCCTAAACCACAGGTCGCTGATGCCGTGGTTTTTAAGGACTTTTTCCTTTGTGGCCTTCGCTTCCTAGCAGCACACTTCCTTCACCAAGTTTTGGAAGCGTTTGAGGTACAACTGCACCATCTTACTCCCAATGGTATTGTTGCTTTGAGTAAGTTCTGTTGGGCCTGCTTGTCTTCTGGCGTGGATCCCAATGTTGGTACTTTCTGTGAGTATTATGAGCTCCAGCGTTAGTCTAAACGGGTTAGCGAATGCCAGATGGTGGCACAGTATGGAAGCTGCGCTTTCATGCCACGAAGGAATCAGAAAGGCGAGAAGTTGGAGATCTCCTTTTCTCAAAAGAACAAGTGGTCGAAAGATTGGATGTAGCACTGGTTCTATGTGAGGACTAGCGGCATGACATCTACCGGCTCAGATGGGAAGAAGGACACTCGCTATCCGTTGGCTTCAGTGATGACTCCGATGAAGCCTCTGACTCAAGGGACCCTAGATCCGAGGATTGGTGAGGGTTGCGAAGCCTGTGACAGGGCTTTTGCTTTGGCCTGCCGGTACTCCGGAGGCCATGATTTGGTGGAGGAGATGGTGGCCGCTAACTGCTGGCCCCTTGGTAAGAATAGGCCTGCCATGACCATTGAGATGGTTCCTGTCTTTGGCGAAGGTGTTGGGGTTCCATTTCCCCGCTTTAGCTTTAAGAAGAAGGAGGGTCGGCCGCTGAGAAACTGGTGAAATCCACCAAGGTAGGGGAGCGTGAGATACTTGGCAAAATGTCTGACAAGGAGTATCTAGCGCGCCAAGCCCTCACTGGTACAATGCCCTGACTCAACAGGGTTTTTGAGGAGTTTGGGATCCATCATGAGGAACATGATGTTCCTGCGAAAGGTGCACAAGTCCTTGGAGGACAAGGCGAGGAAGGCCGCTGCCAAGAATGTGACTGCTGCGGCAGAGGCAAAGAAGAGAAAAGGGGTTGGCGCACCCAAGGTCGTTAGCAAGAAGTAGAAGACCGTGACTGCTTTTGCTGCTGCCTCCACCATTACCTCCGCTGGGGCCGATGAGGAGGTTGCGGAGAATGTTGGCGGAGGCTCTACTTCTTCGGGTATTGGGATGGATGGCGAGCATTCTGCCACCTCTTTAGATCTTGGTGGTGACGACTTTGTTGACAT